CTTTCTTTTCTCTTTCTTTTCCCTTCCTTCTTTCCTTCCTTCCTTCCCTCCTTCTCTTCCTTCCTTTTTTATCCCGTCTTTCCGTCTTTCCCTTTTATTCCTAAACCCATCCACCCTCTTCCTTTCCTTCCTTCCTTTTTTCTTTCCTTCCTTTCTTTCTTTCCTTTCCTTCCTTTCTTTCCTTCCTTTCCTTTTTCTCCTTTCTTTCTTTCCTTTCTTTTCTCTTTCTTTTCCCTTCCTTCCTTCCTTCCTTCCCTCCTTCTCTTCCTTCCTTTTTTATCCTGTCTTTCCGTCCATCCCCCCTCTTTCTTTCCTTCCTTCCCTTCCTTCCTTTTTTCTTCCCTTCCTTCCTTTCTTTCCTTTCCTTCCTTTCTTCCCTTCCTTCCTTTCCTTCTTTCCTTCTTTTCTTTCCCTCCTTTCTTTCCTCCCTTCCCTTTTCTTTCTTTCCGCCCTTTCTTCCTTTCCTTCCTTTCGTTTCTCTCCTTTCTTTCCTTTTTTCTTTCCTTCCTTCCTTGTTTCTTGGCTTCAGCAAAACGTCTTCAGAGAAACACCAAGGAAGTCCGGTTGCCTCTTGAAAAAAAAAACACCTTTGGGGCCTCCTGTCCATTGTGAGGGTCTTGGCTTTAGGTTAACCCGTGTGTGTGTGTGTGTGTGTGTGTGTGTGTGTGTGTAAATCTGAAGCAGCTTAAAACTATAGAGCCCCAAACTGGATGTTTCTTGAGTGAGACGTTTGCCCCGCGAGTCTCGCCCCATTTTACGACCTTTCTTGCCCCCGTTGTTAAGTGAATCGTTGCCGTGGATAGGTTGTTAAGTGAATCCGTCTTCCCCCTTGACCTTTGCTCCTGAGAAGGTCGCAAAAAAAGAGGGTAGGCGTGGCCCCCGGCACACTGCAACGGTCATAAATACGAGCCGGTTGCCGAGCGTGTGAGTTTCGATCCGGCAACCACAGGTGGGGACACACACACACACACACACACACACACGCTGCAACGGTCGTTAAGGGTGAAAAACGGTCACAAGTCCCTTTTTTTTTTCCCCTGGTGCCTTTGTCGATTCGAACGGTCACTGAACAGACTGTTGTAAGTTGAGGACTCCATTCACACCAGTCAGAGTTGTGGAAGTTCAGTTCACCAGACACACAAATATCTTTTGACTTCCTCGGATGTAACAGGGAGACAGTGTGCCACTCTTCGACCACCTTCTCCTGACTTCTGAATCTGGCCTACAACAAGGGAAGGAAAAAAAAAAAAGATTTATTTGTCTGGATTTAATGTATTACCTTGGTTTTAAAGCAAGGGTGTCCAACTGTGGCCACTTCTAACACGCGTGGACTTCAATTCCCAGAATTCCAGAGGCAGCCATGCTGGCTGGGGGAATTCTGGGAGTTGAAGTCCACCAGTCCTAAAAGTGGCCAAGGTTCTGTTTTAAAGACTCCTTCAGTGAGGTTTAAAAATAATACACAAAGGCTGTTAAATTAGAGTTATAACTCTGCAAATCGGAATTGGAATAGAGCTGGAGGGGACCTCAGAGGTCATTAGTCCAGCCCCTGCTCAAATGGAAGATCCTATGCCATTTCCAGTGTTGGAGCAGCCGCAACTTCTAGTGGCAAGCGGTTCCACTGGTGAATTGTCCTCACAGTTAGGAAGTTTCTCCCCAATTCCAGGTTGCTTCTCTCTTCCATTAATTTCTTGTCCTGCCTTCAGGGGCTTTGGAAAATAAACTGACTAAATGTATTAACTAAATGTAATCAATACATTTATTAAGAACAAGAGACCGACAGGAAAATAATAGATCTGTTTGCCTAGCTTGGAACGCACGTGGCAAACTAAACTGCAAAGAGGCTGTTAAAAAAGATGTGGCTGTGTGAAATTCCCAGAGAGGGAAGGCCTGAGACTTCCTTCCCCTAAGACTGAACAAGAAGCGATGAGAGATTTTGCAAATTAAAGATTTTGCAAATGGTTCCTAGTTTGGCCTCCCCAAAATACGAACGGGTTTTGTACCTTTTCTGTAGGTCATTGTGTTTGCCTCTATCTGTATTGTGGGGAATTCTTGTGAATGTGCCAGATTTGGTGGCACCCAGCTTTAATTAACTAAAACACATTTATGTTGCTCAGTGAGACAGTGGTTAAAGTGAGTTTTGTCCTGTTGTACGACGTTTCTGGCCACCATTGTTAAGTAAAAAGCTGCAGTTGTTAAGTTAGCAATACGGTTGTTAAGCAGATCGGGCTTCCCTGTTGGACTTCGCTGGTCAGTTGGTCGCAAACGGAAAACCTTGGGATGCTGCAACCCGTTAAAAAAATATGAG